TATTATTATTGTTATTATTATTATTATTATTATTATTGTTATCATTATTATTATTATTATTATTATTATTATTAATTATTATTATTATTAATTATTATTATTGTTATTATTATTATCAATTATTATTATTATTGTTATTGTTGTTATTATTACTAACATTGCTGCTAATTATTATTATTACTACTATTATTGTTATTATCATTAATTATCAATTATTATTAAGTATTATTATAAATTATAAATTATTATTATTTTAGCTAAGCGAAATTTCAGGTACCTCTCAGCTGCTCGTAAATGGGTTCCGGAAGGTATCGATGCATGGAGTAGTTATCTTCACTTGGTTGCTTGGGCATTACCGGCTATTTTAACCATTGCAGTACTCACCACCCATAAGGTTGTCTTTCACATTCATCGAATTCCCTTACAAATGCTTTTTTTTTTCCAATAGCAATTTCCATTGTCTCAAATTCATGCCAGTCTAGTTTTACGATGAATTTGCATCAGAACAGTTGTCATTTACGAAGAAATTAGTTAACCCTGAGCGATAATATTAATGTCATCCAAGTTTCTTTTAGGAATAATGTTGAGGGGAAAATGAAAAGAGTGAGACTGTCTGGAATTCTTTCAAAACAATCAGACAAATGAACAATGATTATTCTCTCCATGGTATCAAACAATACGTTTGATACCATGGAGAATAATCATTGTTAAATTCATATACGTGAAGCTTATTTTGAGCTAGCAAATCATCAAGTCCTCTTATTACATCCATACTATCGGTCAACCCTGGTCCTAAACAGTTTTAGATTTCTTTATAAAAGTCATTGTTGAAATAAATCGGCAGTTTTACTAACCTGGATCGAAGAATAAAGACTTGCTCTTATAATGTTGATTCATTAGTTTGATGACAAAGTTTGGAATTTTTTGTAGGTGGATGCAAACGAATTAACAGGTCTATGTTCAGTCGGTAATGTTGATCCGTGGGCTTTATTTGGCTTTATAATTGTACCGAAGTTAATTTTTGTTGTGGTTGGCAGTTGTTTGATTGTCGCTGGTTTCTCAAGCATGTGCCGAGAACGTGATTCTTTCAGGAGACGAGTAAGTTTACGTTTTTGAAACTAATTCAATATTTAGTTATAATTCTCATGAATTTATGCTTCTGCGTCATAAATTTTTATGTCCTGCCATATCTCTCGAGTTCGCCCTGTCATACTTTTCCACATTTCAATATTATAAAAATTAATTGCAATTTGCTTCATTGTCATCTGAAAGTGTGAAAATTTGGACTGTTTTGATCGACGCCGTTCAAGAAGCTTCTGTACAAAATATTTCCTACAGTTGGAGGTTTAGATTTGTCAAACCCATAAAATTTATGCCTATGCTTTGTAGTGGCTATTAAAATGTGCATAAAAATAAGGATTTTCCGTCTTTCTTTGCTATAGTGTAGTTTGTTTGGAAGCGTGCCTCGAATTTTATGTCTAAAATTTTTAATAAATGTAGTTTGAACAGGGAACGGATACATCAAAACTGGAGAAGCTAATGGTGAAAATGGGTATCTTCAGTGCGCTTTATATTATTCCGGCAATAACAATAATTATCTGCGACACTTACCATATGTTTATTCTAATGCAGTGGCATCCAGCAACCATTGCTTGCAAACTACATGGCGGAATTGAAAAGGGTCACTGTAAAAGGCCTCCATTACCACAGGTACGTAAATAAGATTATATACTTTGAAGTACTGACTGAGGAGTTATTTTGTCCGGAAACCTATCAAACTGATTATGTATACCAGCTTTGTTTTGATCTATTAATGAAGCTTTTTCATAAAGAGAAGTTTTTATATATAAAGTTCAGTAATGTTTACTATTCCTAAATACTAATTTCTTCTTGATTTTGAATAGAATACAAAGTTTTCCTTCTGAAGCTTTTCTCCTCTTATAATTCACTATCTCGGGCATTTCAGTCTATGAGTTGGGGAAAAGCAGATGCGCATTGTTTGATGAGGAAACATCTGACTAGTGATAAATATCAGAGAAATTTTTCCTTGCAAAGAGACATTCTAGAGGAATTTACTTCCCTACAAGAACTTGAACTTGTGGAGGAATTATAAAACATTTAACTTTTTCTTTTGATTTAATGATCAAATATTTGATGTCAAATCTTTTTCAGGTTGAATTGTATTTTTTGAATATATTTATGTCACTGGTGATTGGGATTTCAACAGGAATGTGGACTATTTCGTCGAAAACATTCCATTCCTGGCAACGAGCTATCTGTTGTGGTCTATGCTCTACAGCACCTGCGAAATACGGTTCCGGTGGTGGAGCGACCAGTACGGTAACCAATTCTGCAACCCTTGCTGCAGTTGGAGCTAATCGACCACTTATTCCAGTAGCAAATCCACCACCCGCTCCACCACCGCATCACCAATATATGCCGATGACCATATGCTCCTTACCACCAAACCATGTTGCTGTAGCGCAAAATGCTGCTTCTGCTACTGCTTGGAAGCAGTCGAAAATTATGTAATATTGTATTTAAAAATCTGAGACGGAATCGAAATGCTTCATATTTCTGAATCTATTTGCGATTCTCTTTTGCTTGAAATTCCAAATTACCAGGAATTCAAGAATCTGGAACGAAGTCGGGATGCTTCATATTTCTGAATCTATGTACGATTCTCTTTTGCTTTTGAAGTTATCAATGGATCAAAAATGTAAAAATCCCAACATCTAAACGGACTGAGACGTAACGTTCATCGTCATTTAGCTGTCCTAAACATACAAAATTTTTTAAATTAGTTTAGCTGGGACCGGGCCAGTCAACTAGTTCAAAAGTATCCATGATACTTTTTAATGTATATTAGTCAGATCAAAAGTTAATTTTATTTGGTTAACGCTAGTTCGGTCTCTGAGATCATTCCGTTCACTGTTTTCCAGCTGAGAAATTGATGTCAAATACGAAGGATTTGTATGTCTTATTCGAAATTCAGGAAAAAATGATGTAATAAAATCATTAAAACAAATTACTGTTCTACCTCGATTTGCTTACAAGCATATAATATTTTAATTCTCCTCTTTTTCCTTCATTCTATCTTACCGTATTTATTATTTTCAAGAACACATACATCTTTACGAGAAATAATCTTTTTCTTTCTATTCTAAGTGCCATTGCAATGTGACAATCCATGACAGTATATTGTTGATTTTTTTTTTCTTTTTTCATCTTTGTTGTTTTTTATAGCGCGGGGCGATGTTTTATTTCATTTTAATTTACCTTAGGCGTGTTCATGTAGTTGGCTTGATCTTATTATAAGGTTAGCCAGGAGAGGGCATCCATCCAAACCGTATGGTTTTTGACGATTAGCTATGAAAAGATTTGCTTACAAGAGAAAAAAATGAGTTGATAACTCCGTCAAACTGATGTGGGTTTCAGTTTTTTAACAGTCACCTCACTCGTAAACTGTATGAGTAAATTTTCCGGTGCGCTGAATTGTACACTCAACATATTAAAATATAAGATGGCGTTTGGAACTCTTCAAATGTTATTGTTATTTATCTCTTCAAAAGCTACTTATCAGGAGACGATTACCAATCGTTTAAGAAATTGATGAAAGAGATAATAAAAATATCGAAATTATTATTAATAGGTGGTTCATTAAGCCATTCGTAATTTTGATTATTCAGTTTAAAAAACAGCGTGAAGTAAATAAATATATTTGAAAAGTTCTAAAAGTCAAAATAAAAGCAGCTTACTGACGGGTTTAATAAGCATGGAATTGTTTTACATAAGTAGCTTTGCTGGTGTTGAGGAATTCTGTGTAAAATTATATACTTCAGCTCCAGAAAGTTGTCGGTTGTTGACGTCTACGAAACTCTGCTAAACTCGAGTTGTATAAAATGCGATTCTTCATGTTGTTTTACGTTATTTACTCTTTTACTGCCAGCATACTTTTGTTTTACTTTCTTCGATTTCTTTCATAACTAATGGAATTTATTACATTAATAGCGAAGTACACTTACAAACTATTCTTATTTTGTATTACATTCATCAGTTTGTCACATACTGGCACCAGAGAGTTTCAAACTAAGGCTAAGACATTCTTAACTATATGAAAATCTCAATTTCAGTCCACAACTGAATTTTGGAAATCATTTAAGGAAAGATTTTAAATTGAATGGAATGAGAAATGGAAAAGATGATGTACCGTTTCGGTTTCGGTCTATCCATTTCCACCCCGTATCGTACTTCAGTTTATTTGTTTCCCATCTGGCTGTTTTTGCATGTTTTCTAATCTTTTCCTTCCTGAGGAAAGAAAGTAGAAACACATACTGCTTTGAACCAACATGTTTTGCACTTTTTTCTTTTAATTACACTTTGTCATTCTGCAAAACAGAATATATTAAACGTGACAAATAAGAATTTTTATTGTACTTAATATTTATACAATATTAAAAATCTCATTGAGAAAGCCTTCTTATAGGTGAGAGGTTTACATTCACTCATTCATTTATTCAATTCATTCATTCATCCAACCTTATATGCATAAAATATAAAACATCAAAGGAACCGAATTCTGGTTTTGCAGGCTTCGATGTGTAAGCTGTAAATTTTACACAATGCAATAATATGAATCATCGGGGAAGGTGAAAAAAAGCATGAGGAGAACTCCCATACGAACGGTATTCCTTGGGGACCTCTGAGCAGTAATACTGCAAATTGTTGGGTAGTAGAGGCAAGCAATTTTAATCATCAGCTGTGTAACTAATTGTCGTGTAGTAAAGAAGCGATGTGCTGGTTGATTTGAATAATAAACTTCTTTAGTAATCTACAGATCATCGTTAAGTTGACTGGTTGGTCACAGCAATCTTAGTAAAAAGAGTGCTTCAGATCGCTGGATTTGACAGTAAAGACCCTAAGGTGTAGTGATGTTCAGGAGAGGACCTTTTCTTTTTGCTCAAAGAATGGAACTTGATTTGACCAAAGCTCCTTTCCGAATCAAAAACAATTAGGTGTATGGGTTAACCTCACAAGTTATGAAAGTTTCGACTTTTATGCTGAGTGAACAAAAAGATTTTCTTCACTTTATAATAAATGACATCACATCGAAGTTTGCAATGACCACCAATATCATTAAGATATTTCTATTCATGGACAAATGCGCATCACTGCTTTCGAAGCATTTCTGATGGATTTGGAAGGGAATGCAATTCTCAAAATGATGCTCATACAATTCCCAGCTCATCTGAAAAAACCAAGAATGCATGCAGAACTCTCTTTCGATGAGAAATGATTTGAATAATCCTTGGTATTTTCTCATTTTAAGTTCTAGATTCCAAAACTTCATCCGAACTTCGTCCACTCGGACCATCCCGATCATCTTTGTTGCCATCATAATGTGCTTGGGAAAAGTCAATTTCAGTCTCAGCATTCCGAACGTCCTATGATTTCCAAAAGTTCTACTGAGAATTAATTTGGGTTATACGTGAGGCATGAAGATCAAATTCTAAAAATCTCGCGTCATCTTAGGTGTTGTAAATGTTGATTGGAATGTTGTAAGCAATGAATGATGAAAGTCATAGTTGCGATAAAATAAAAACTTGTATAATTTAACACAGTAAACACTCCGTTCATCGTATATACACATAGACATTTAATTAATTAACTCAAACCTGATAGCAAACTTCATGAACTGCACGCGATGGAATCAAAATAAACGTATCACTCATCCAATCTTCCACTGTACGGTTGGCTATCAAACTTACATAATGTACATGACTATCGAGACGGATGCGATAGTGAATGAGAAATGAAATTGGCTGCGACCAGTTTGAATTTATATTTAGTGAAAATTCCGCATCGTCACAACTTATTGACCTGATTAAAGTATAAAATGAAAGTATCTACTTGAACTAAATGAGAAAATTCTTTTTCTGCTGTGTTTTCATCTTTTGGTTTACACAGTACCTGTCATATCTAATGATCATCTCGCAGTTTTGACTCTGTTTACAATCTTTAGAGCTTATGATTTATTAGAGATACACTTTTATTTTTATTACCCATAAGAACAGTTTAGAATACTATCCTAACAAAAATTCACTGAGATTGCGCGGTCATCAAACTACATCATTATTGCTGGTAGTGACTTTTTCTAAGTTCTTCATTAAATAGTGCGGGCTTTCAAACCTCACCTGACTTTCAATGAAATAAGTTTTGGAAGCCAATCTACTTCAGTGTAATTGATTTTGATCGAAAAACTGGGCCTAATCAAAAAAATGCTGGAATAATTGGACCAGAATGTTCTGTAAACTTTTCTATGATAAACTTCGTAACGTATCGTACTCTTGAAAAGTATTTCGTACCATTTGCCCTGCATAAAATCACATGCTAGATAACCCTGAAAGCATGATTTAGCATAATTTACAGTAAGACTTTGTGATCCAAAATTCAAATTCTATTAGCTGAAATAAATCCAGAAATCTCTCAAACAGAGTATTTGGCCTTTGTTCTAGCTTTTGAACGCGAGACGGGAAAGTGCTTGTTCATCTCAGAACAGTCTTGCAATTTCGATAAAGCATTATGTCAAGGATCACCTCATAATTTTTCGGTAAACTCTTTAGTGGGCAGTTTGCATTACTGGTATTCCATATCGGTGTCTTTCGGATAGCTAACTGCGATCTGTACTGTGAAAGGGCTTTTTGACATCCAATGTAATATCCTAGGTCGGGTGATATTCGGTAGTTTTTTGATAACCCTTTAAAAATTACTATCATTCTGGTACAGACAAATTGTACGAATTAATATTTAAATAAGGGAATGATTTTTCAAATTTGTAGATCTTTAAAACCAGCAAAACAGGTTTTGTCTTTACAAACAAAATTATGCCAAAGTAGAATTAAAGTCAACCTTATATTCCAGTTCACAAGTGTTCGGATTACCCATTTCATGCCAAATAATTTGTACAGTAGGCACTAGACTAGTAACACGCTTCAAATCATTATCGTAATCGTCTTGCCTCTTACTGGTATGAAACGACCCACAGGATCGTAACGTTTCTGGGAATAACTGGAAAATGACGATGATATTTTTTTCAGTCACAACAATGACTAAGATTGGTTACAGAGGTTTCCAGCTTAGTATGATATCCTTGATCGAATCATTCAAATTTATCTATCCCTGACATCTGCATAGATGCATTGGAATCGATACAACTACTCAGCAAGAATAAGTGTGACAAAAGCGCTGGAACTTCTATCTGTTGACGAAATAAGTGCGTAAGATATATTATGAAAAAGCGGACATACAACCACAACGTTATCATTGAGTAATTGTCTTTCATATGAGCAAGCTTCCATTGACAAACTGATAGGCTTCTCCGGAGATATGTGATAAAATGCTGCGACATGTTGTAGCAGTAAGTACCACCAAATTGTTAGTGTTAGGGTCGTATGGTTCCTGACCATTATCATAGAGAAAAAGGTACCATTCAGTCAGAAAATTTCAACATTCGGTAAGACATATCATGATATAACGTAGTCTCTTGAATTCTCCTGAAACTTCATTAAACAACAAACAGAACTTTGTGGCTTCAAAACCTCTTATTGTTCTTAAATAACTTGATAATTCTTAACTGATCAAACATTGTTTCCTATTTTCAGCAGTTAGAAAGAATAGTTATGAGGAGAAATCAATAGTGTATCAGAAAATAATATTTGATCATCATTTTTTATCGAAATTGTATAAACTTGGTCAGAAAGTATGAAATCAGAAAATAGAGAAAACTAGCCAAAGATCAATGAATCACATATTAATGAAAACTGATATCACTTATGATTTATTCATACTCAACAAATAAGTGTCAAAAAATTAAACAATATATGATTCCTAGAAAAAAAAAGCCTGGAGCCTAGATAAAGAAGTAGCAGAAGCACAGCAGAATGGATCTGGCAATTTGCTTCTTCCCATGAGTAAACTAAACTTTCCTGCGTGGAACATTTCACAAACACACTGCTAGGAGTAGCTGACTCTCTCCTACGCCAAGACCCTTTCATTTGCCTTTTTATACCACCCAATGCTATGTTCCCGGAAAAGTATTATCAGAATGAAAACAAAGCTTTGTTTCCTTTTTCTAGAAAAACACACCATCTATGCATTAATTGTGCCAGGCGAAATTTAATAGAACTGAAGTGGAGAATATCGTCGAAATATTGCTCGACACAATTAATTTATCGGTCATATACCAGTGGTGGTTAACGATCAAGTTAACCACAAACCTGTCGCCTAATTGTGTTTTGCAATCAATCATAACTGTCCAGTAAATAAATAATTGATGACAATGTCAACGTAGCCATGAAAATGATTACAGTTTACTATCAAAGGATGGCATTTTTCTCTTGTCCTTTTTTTTTTATTTTTTTTAACTACCGTTAGACCTAAATCAGTATATCATGGTAACTTGTCTATTCCAAGCAAAG